TCCAGCAAAAGCCTGTCCAAGGAGGAACCTGTGGTATTAGGGGCTGTGGGAGAGGAAGGGGGTTGGGGTCCACTTGGTCTCCCTCTCAAGGCAGCCAGGAGAACAGGGGAAATGAGAAGAGATCAGGCCCCACCCTCCATGGCAACCTCAAGGTCTCTGCCTCCTCACCCCACCCCAGAGCTGCCAGTACCAAGGAGTCTGGGACAGGGGACAGTCATACCTGCAAAAGAGGAGGAGTTCACAAGGTTTCTTCACCACCTGAAGGGCGGCTTTCAGAAGATGGAGTGACTGATTTTTTATGTCCTTCCCCTTTCGGACCCTGTAAATGTGTGACTAGTCCAAACAAAAATGTACGTTTGAATTCAAGAAAAGAATGCGGTTGATCATTATATATATACTGATATATAATGATCTTCAAGTAAACAAAGCAAGTTGAAGGACAATTTGTATGGCGCTCATGTCTGTAAACCATCCTAAGCTTTGGTCATGGTTATCAGTGGGTGGGAGGGTAAAGAAATTGGGGAGGGGGAGGAGAGAGACTCTCCGTTTTTACTCTTGTGGTCCTACAATGTTTGAGTGTTTTTATAATAGAAATATATTTATGAATGACTTGTTTTGTTGTTGTTTGTTTGTTTGAGACAGAGTCTCACTCTGTCGCCTGGGCTGGAGGCACTGGCACAATCTCAGCTCACTGCAACCTCTGCCTCCTGGGTTCAAGCGTTTCTCCTGCCTCAGCCTCCCGAGTAGCTGGGATTACAGACGCCGACCACCACACCGGCTAATTTTTGTATTTTTAGTAGACACAGAGTTTCACCATATTGGCCAGGCTGGTGTCGAACTCCTGATCTCAGCTGATCCACCTGCCTTGGCTTCCCAGAGTGTTGGGATTACAGGCGTGAGCCACCGTGAGTGGCCTACATGATGAGTTTTTTAAACATTACAGCTTAACCAAAAAAGAACATTGATGGCATTTAAAATCAAAACTTCCCTCCCCACCACCAAAAATAAGAAAAATGGCTGAGAGGGTGATTAGTTGGATATAAAGCATAAATCTGCTTCTTCTGTCACCCCAATTAGTCCTGATTCTGCACAAACCCTGCCAAATAACACGGCTGGAAGTAAAGGAGAGAAAATTCCCGAGGTGTGCCGTTCCTCCGTTTCCACAGCACAGCAGACAGTACTAGTTGATAAAAGATTGCCAGGGCAATGCTGATGCTGTCGATCTAGGGACCACCCTTAGGGAACCACTGGCTTAGATCATGATGCTGCCCTGCCTGCCCCTGTGCTGTGGGTGAGAGCTAGAGGGACTGTACCAGAGGCAGAGGTGCCCGCAGGTGGGTCCTGCCTGTGCCACTGCCTTAGCCTTCCTGGACTGAGGTTAAGTGATTCAGGAATCAGGCTGGCTTAGCCTACAGGTCTTCCTGGGGTTGGGTGGGAAGTCCTGGGACTGGGGTGGGGAGGTCCATGGTTCGAGTCCCACCACCACCAGGGATGTGAGCCTTTAAACACTACCTGTCTGAATAACCATACCTGACTCATGAGGTGACTGTCTAGCCGAAGCAGAATGTGTTTTCCTAACAGTTCTTTTCTGGCTTATTACCTCTCACAGTTTTCTAAAAATGGGTCCTGCCAACCAGAGAGCTATTTGTGTGGGTAGTGGTCATGAGCTGGGGTAGAAAAATGGAGACTTAGAATTAGAATGGAATTGAAGTGCTCTGAATGCACTGAGAAGACAATTTGGATATGTCTGTGAAAAAATCTGAGAAGGAAGAACCAATGCTAGTGAGGAGAAGAGAGAAAAGAAAAAGCACACACCCCACCCTATTCCAGGCTGCCCGGTCCAATGGCATGGCATGGAGGAGGGACGTCTGGATGACAGACCTATCCACAGAGGACTTTTGAATAGTTTCCTAAGAGATGTATGATGTATACTCCCTTCATCCTTCTAGGTAATCTTTAGTAAAATTGACATTGCTTATTAGTATTTTGTTTATGTGGGTTCCTTAGAAAACTAAGATGATGAATTCTGCTACCTTCAATGCTGAATAATCCCAGAGCCGCTCCCACAGTGGGCGGAACTGCAGGCAAAGGCACAAGCGACCCTGGGGGTCTCCTGTCCAAAGCAAGTACTTCTTGCCTGACTCTAACACAGTGGTCCTACAGAGCTCCCCAGTGCTGGTACCCAGCCCTTCTCATCCACAGCTTTGTCCACAGTTGCAAGAAGATTTAATTTTTGTTTAAAGCTCACAGCTGCTTTGTAATGGATTGGAAAATGGATGAGGATGGAACCGAAGCAATGGTTAGTCTGCAAAGAAGATAAGGAACTTTGTAACCCCAAGGTGAGTTATATGGACAGACTTACAAACACGCTGGCTGAGATAGAAGAACCTGAGGAGAGGCCACAGCAGTTGTGCCCAGAAGGGCCACCAGGAGTGGGGACCCTCACTTGGCAGAGGAGGGTGGCGGAGGGAGGAGAAGGAGGAGTGGCAATAGATGATGGGCCTTTTTCTTTTGTATCTTGGGCATTGATCACTCTGGGGTGGCTTTGCCTCCATTAGCTGACCAGGTCATCTGGGAACTAGTACAATGAAGGCGGGGAACCCTAATTTTCACAGTTCTGATGCCGACAGATCATTTGCCTTTTTGGCAGGGGGAGAGGGGGCTGCTTTGGGGAGACTGGTATACATGAGAAACCTGGTAAGAGCATAGCCTGGGAAACCCAGATTAAACAAATCGTAAGAACATGGTCTGGAGAGGAAAGACTCGACTGGGGTTGGCCAATCGGGGCAGTGCTGCCTTGCCTGGGGAATGGCAGGGGCAGTGCACTGGGGGCCCTGGGGGAACTTGGTCCTTCCTATTGTTACCTCCTCCTCCTCCTGCTCTCTTTAGTAGCTGTGTGCACTCGAAAATGAAAGCACCCTAGCTCCTCTTTGCAAGGGACAACTCTGGGGCTCTCTATGGTCACCAAGCTGCCCCCTCCGTGGCTGCCACAGCCAATGCAGTTGCAGAGACAGCAGCTGATGATAAGAGAGCAAAGCAGCCACAAGCAGTGACATCGGCTTGTGATTTCCGATTCAGTTAAGCCAAGGCTGATAAGGAGAGGGGCTGCCCAGGGTGGCCACACTGCCTGGCTGCTGCTGAGTCTGGAACCTGCAGGGGTTCTTGAGTTCTTGGTCTTTTATCCTGTCCTGGGCTTGTTCATTTCCTTCATTCAGTCACCCATTTGCTTTATAAATAAGCCAAACATTCTCTTGACACCCTCTCACTCTGTGATGGATGGAATAATGAACAACACCCTAGTCCCTGCTCTTTCAGAACTCATTGAAGGAGGGAGGTGGAACAAGGCAGACATGTGACCTGAGAATGCTCATATGAAGATGCAAGATAGAATGTGACTTCAGTCACATGAAAGGGACAGAAAAGCAGCAGCTATGGGAGGAAGGCACAGCCATAGAGTAAATAATTTACATTTCTGGACCTTTTTCCAAATTGCTTCCTCTACAAAATGAGAGGTCAGCTTAGCCCCTACAAAAAAAGACCAGCGACTTCACAGCCCCAAAGCTCTATGGGCTGAGCTAAGTGACAGAAACCAAACTCCAACAGGCTTAATCCAAAAAAGGAATGGAATGGATTGGATCATATACAATGAACAGTCCAAGGGTAGATTCAGCACCAATATTTCAGGTATAGCTGGATCCAGCGTTTAAACCATGCTGTCAGCAATCTGTCGCTTTCTAGAGCCCTTTACCCATCAGGCCCAACAGGGTGACCGCACAGAATCTTTAATTTTTTCAAGGCTCTAGAAATGTGTCAGAGACTCTCCCAAATAGGGTTCGGCTTCAAAATGTGAAAAGAAAAATAAAGAAAGAAAGAAGAAAGAAAATAAATGACAAAGTAGCAAACGTGTCACCATGTAGTTGATCCATTTCCCCCAGCAGCTCCACTATCCCTGCCCAGCACTGCTCTCTCCTAATTGCTAAGGACAGCGGATGCTTTTTCATTCTCTTCACCTGTGTCCTCACTACAGTCATTAACATCATTGGCCATTGTCTCCTCCTTGGCATTCTGTCTTCTGCCAGCCTCCCTGGCACTCCACTTTCCTCCTGCCTCTTAGCCTTGTTTCTTGTTCTTCTTAGATAAATAACGAGTGACAAGAGGTGAGCCAGGAGAAGGGTTGGGAAGAGATTCCCACAGCCTGGATCCTTAAGAGACCTTGGTACTTCTGGGAGGGGCTGGAGTGAGGGGATAAAGCATGATGTTGGAGATTAGGGAGGGACCAGATCAAGGAGGGTCTGGCAAGTCACACTAAGGAGTTTGGCCATTCTCTTTAAAGTAATAAGGAGCCATTGAAGGTTATAGCAGGAGTGTAACATAAACAGATTTGTGCTTCACTCTTAGAGATCTTTGGCTGTGGGGTGAAGGCAGGATTAGAGGGAGACCTGCGGCTATTGTAGTGTTTCAGGAGGAAGACCATGGTAGTCAGATGAAGAAGTGACAGCCATAGGGATGGAAGAAAGTGGAGAATTCATGAGATATTGACAGGGCTTGGTGCAGTTGAGATGTAACAGGCGAGGGAGAGGGAGGTGTTAGGATGACACCGAGGTTGCTGATTCTGAGGCGAGAAACAGAGAAGTGGGCTTAGATGGGGGAATGATGAGCTTGGTTTGTACCTGTGGAGATGGAGGTGCTTGAGGGAAATCTGGCTGGCCATGTCCAAGGGTGGGGGATGGTTGGTGAGTCTGAAGCTCGAGAGAGAGCTCAGGGCTCTCTGCATCAGTCCCTCCCCAGTCAACACCAGAGGGGGTCTCTTGGCAGGTGAGACCCCTAAAACCGGTCACATACGATTAGAATAAAGGACCTCCTTTATTCACCCACAGTGACTGTGGGTGACCACAGATGCTTCTTTAGAAAGCAATCTCACAGCAGGATGCATTCTGGGAGGAGCTCTGAGGGCCACAAGGAAGGGGAAGGAAGAGGAGGAGACAGAGCTGTGAGACTCCGAGCTTTTCTCTGCAGATCTGAAGAGCGCAGTCAAGACCGCAGACACCCGTGGAGGCTCCCCCAAGACACCTGGTTCTCTGGGACTGGGGGCCTCGCACAGGACCGCAGGGAGTTGGCTGAAGGACTCGGGTAGCCCAAGAGCTGCCAACAAACCAAGGTAGGTGCTGGCTCTGATGGAGCTCTCCAGGGAGGCATATCTGAGTAGAGCAGATGGAAGGGTGGAAAGGAGGGAGCTGGAATGGGAACCCCTGAAGGGACCGAAACACCCCTGGCTCTTATTTACCCAAGTTCAGGGCTGCCAGGGCCAGCCTTTCTGAGAAGGGCTACCTCAGACACTGCTGGATAACTCTGCCAAGTTAAGATGGTTTCAGCCCATTTTCACAGTATGAAAGGACATGGGACCCTGGGAGAAGGGCTCTCCTTTCTTCTGGAATCCTGTACATGCCATTAATAATAGGACTAATTATTCATGCCTGGTGCTGCGGACTACACCCATTTTCCCATTTGATTCTCACCAGCATTTAGAGATTGACTGAATAAGGGTTTTAGTGCCACTTTATAGGAGAGAAGACTGAGGCTTAAGGAGATGAAGCAACTTGCCAAAGCTTGCAGAGTGGGTTAGCAAGGAGCAGGACTCAATAGGAAATGTCTGGGTCCCAGTCTGTGCCCTTTCTGGGACATCATCTGTCCATCACTCTCCTGGGGAATTTGGTGAAAGTCATGCTAGTCTAGCCAATTTTCTCTCTGTGCACAAATCGGGGATCTTCTATGTGCCAGAGTCTGACCGAGGCCTGGTCTCTGTCCTGAAGGAGCTGACTGCTGCCTGCCATGAGGGTCCGGACACAGCTGCAAGTGACCAACCCAGAAAGTAACACGTGCCAGGGTCCTCAGTGAGCTGGGCGGTGTGAGGTACACGCAAGATGGGAGAGAGAGACTGCCAGGTGTGGGCTCAAGGAGGGTTCCATGGAAGGTGGTGCCTGGCTGAGGCTCAAGGGAGGACCTGGTGTGCAGAGAGGAGACAAGAGGCACCCCAGCAGTGGGAAGTAAAGTGTGCAAACCCCCACAGCCAGGAAAGCAGGTGCAAAAGTCAGGTGTAGGGGAAAGTACAGCTAGAGGCGATGTGTGGCTGCTACCAGGGGGTGTACAGAGCACTCACAGGCATGGACCTGTTCCATTTATTCATTTAGCTCTAAGTGGTTTTCAAGTATCATCTCATTTAGTCTCATGACAAGCCTATGAGGTAGACATTGTTGTCAGGTTCCCTTTAAGGGACACAGAGGTTTTAAGCAGCAGCCCAAGTTGCCCTATGGACAGAGAGGATTGGAATGCCATCTGCCTGGCCACTGTGCCCTGCTGCCTCTCACTAGAACTGCTGCTGGCTCCTACACTGTCTCCACGAGAGTGCCTCCACTGACCTGGTGGCTGCAGATGCCGGGGGCTGCAGTCGTTGCCATCTGGTCCCTTGCATTCAGGCCCCATCAGATCCCACCAGGCTTCCATGCCCTGGGAACAATGCTCCCCCAGCCCCACCCCACTGGCTCTTTCATGCCCAGGTGTTTCCTTCCAGCCAGAAGCAGACGCAGCTGAGGAAATTAGCCTGTCCCTGTCCATGGAGGCCAGCCCAGACAGCAGGATCCTCACCTCCCAGCCCCTCAGGAATCTGAAAAGTGGACCTCGTGGGAGCGAGGGCTAAGGATTGAGGGGGACCCCTCAGGACCCAGAGCTCTGTCCTCTCCCTTACTCCCTCACTGTGAGTGAGTTCACCACACGCTCTGATCTGAGAAAAGGCCCACAGCTGTGCTGTCTGGCAAGCTGAGCTGCCCCTGAAACCCTGAGGGCATGAGGCAGCTCTGGCGGGAAAAGAGGGGAGGCAACAGAAGCAGGAGACTCAGGCTCTGCAGGTCCCCTCTCTCTGTGCCACAGGAGCGGGTGGAGGACAGGAGGCAGGGCTGAGTGTGGCCCTGGGAAGCTCTGCGTCTTTTCTGCCCAGGCTAGTCCTGCAGATGTGGTATAGGGAGGTCTGGGTGGTAGGTTCTTCTGTCTGAACAGCTTGTCCCAGGAGCAAGCAATGGGGGAACAGGGGGACAGGGTGCCAGAGGACTATTAGATCTGGATTCTTCATGACAGAAACACTGACCCTGAGCCAGGCTTCCTCAGATCCTCCTCCATGTCCTCTTACTTCAATCTTCTCTAGCCAGGAAATCGCCCCCACTGTATCTCACACTAATGACAGGGAGCAGCACCTGTGAACAGTTGGCCCCATTCGATTCTTTCTGCCATGTCCATAGAACACTTCTATGGTTCTGTGGTCGGTCCTTGGACTTGTCGTACCCCAAGGCAGTGATGAGCTGTGTGTGTGCACCTGGCCTGAGACTTGTTCATTGCAGATCTTCTGTGTTTAAGGAAGAATGCTCTCTGAATCCCAATTCACTCATCCCTTTGTTCGTTCATTCATTCTTTGTCTCTGATCTCATTCCTCTGTCAAGAATTGTGAAGGACCTGAGTTATAAGTTAGAAGGATCTGTTAGTTGTAAGTTAACTTATAACTAACAAGTTAGCCTACCACAGTTTCGTGGTCACCAGCAGAAGATATGAGACTCCAGAGGCAGAGACAAATAACTCTGTCGCTCACAGCACAACTAGCATCATGAGTGTCATATTTATAGGTTCCCCTTGCCCCCCAAGTCCCAGGGGCACAGCAAGGAGGCCAATCCAAGTGGACTCTGTGCATGGCACCACATGAACCCTGAGCCTAGGAAACCCTAAGTTTCATGACGAGCTGCAAACAACCTGCCCAACTTTTACCCTGAAAGCACACATGTTCTCTATTGCATTGACAGCAAATAAATCCGCTTTTTGTCCTAGAAGGGACAGTATCTTCCAAGGCTATTTGCTACACAAAGATATTTGAAAAGATGATGTAGAAGACTTCTCACCAGGCATGCACAAACAGAAATTATGGAGAATTGTCTCCCAACATCTTCCTGGTGTCCCCCACTCATTACACCCCAACCATGCTGTCCCTTAAAAACACTGGGCACCCTCGCAACTCAAGACTTTGCTATTCTCTTTGCTTACAGCAGTCTTCCTGTGATACCACATGGCTTGCTGCCGGGGCCTCTTTCAGGTTCCTACTCAAATGGCACCTCCTCAGGAGATCTCCCTCATCATCCTTTTAAAAACCACACACAAGGCCGGGCGCAGTGGCTCATGCCTGTAATCGCAGCAATTTGGGAGGCCGAGGTGGGCAGATCACAAGGTCAGGAGATCAAGACCATCCTGGATAACACGGTGAAACCCTGTCTCTACGAAAAATACAAAATATTAGCTGGGCATGGTGGCACGCGCCTGTAGTCCCAGCTACACAGGAGGCTGAGGCAGGAGAATTGCTTGAACCCAGGAGGCAGAGGTTTCCGTGACCCGAAACTGAGCCACTGCACTCCAGTCTGGGTAACAGAGTGAGACTCTGTCTCAAAAACAAAACAAAACACACACAAACACACACACAGACACTCTTGGGGGTTTGGAGGCAATAGGGAGATGCTGGTCAAAGGGTATGAAGTTTCTACTAGAAGGAATAAGGTTTCTGAGATCCACTGCACAGCAGAGTGACTATAGTTAATTATGGTGTATTTTTCACAATTGCTAAGAGAGTAAATATTTCAAATGTTTTCACCATGAAAATGATAGGTATTCAATGGATATGTTAATTAGCCTTATTTCATCACTCCACATTATATATGTCTATCATAATATCACTTTGTCCACATAAATATATGCAATTATAATTTATGAATTCATATTAAAATTTACAAGTTTAAATTTAAATCAATATTTAAATATCTACATAGCCATATATCTATATCCATATACTGCACACCCCTCCCCATCTCTAGAACCCCTCCCTCCTCTTCCCAACTTTATTCTCATAGCACTTATCTTCATCTAATATACAATTTAATTATTTGGTTGATTTTCTGTCCCCTACATACCCATTAGAGTGCAAACTTTCTAAGAGCAGGCATTTTGTCTATTTTATCTTATTGCCACATCCCCAGGACCTGGAACAGTGTCTGACACATACTTGCTCAGGAAGCAGGTGTGGTGGCCCACACCTGTAATTCCAGAACTTTGGGAGGTCTAGGCAGGCGGATCACAAGGTCAAGAGATTGAGACCATCCTAGCCAACATGGTGAAACCCCATCTCTATTAAAACTACAAAAATAAGCTGGGCATGCTACTTGGGAGGCTGAGGCAGGAGAACCACTTGAACCTGGGAGGCAGAGGTTGCACTGAGTCGAGCTCGTGCCACTGCATTCTAGCCTGGCGACAGAGCAAGATTCTGTCTCAAAAAAAAAAAAAAAGTTTGCTCAGGAACTACGGAATAAGTGAAACAATGAGTGAGTGCTGGGGGAAGTGTGAGAGGTCACAGCAGGGGGGACCACAGGGCATCTCCCAGGTTGTTGGGATTTGTCCCTCGGCCACTTTCCTGCTACCTATTTTGGCTGCCAGGAGTCTTGCTGACTGTGGGCAGAGGCTGGTATATTGCTCTCTCGTAATGATGTATTCTTGCTCTACGGGGTGGGGGGGTAGAGAGGAAACTCAAGATGAGCCCTAACGTGCTACTTGATTGGTCAGTACCTTGCACATGGCCCTTGAGGCAAAAAAGCAACAAACATTGAAGCCTCAGCTGTCCATGACAGGGCCTGAAACAGCTCGGCCACCCACAGGTGACAGAGGGAGCTGCAAGGTCAGTGTGGCACAATGTCCTTGTCACCACTGTGTCTGTCTTCACATTTCCTATGGGACTGCTGTCTTCTTTGCAGTATTCTGAGCATCAAACTAATCTCTGTTTCCTGTGTCATTCATTGTGGCAACCATGCCCAGCAGACTTGTTTCTGCCCTCTAGCCCAACAGTAGCTTTGAGACAGTGACCCTGTCTTGTATTCATATTAGCACCTGGCATTCATGCATTCGAGCATATTTATCAAGGGCCTTCCATGTGGTATAAACAGTGTCAGGTAATGGGGACTCAACAGTGAGCAAAGTGGAGCTCCTGGCCATGGGGAGCTTACGTTTTTGTGGAGGCAGCCAGATGATAAACAAACGCAATAGCATAGTCCCCTTACCTGTAGGGGACACACTCTGAGACCCCCT